TATATGTAAAAAAAATGTTAAAATTACTTTTTTATATGTTAAATAAAAATCTGAAGAATATATTTAAAAAATATATATTTTCAAAAATATTTTTCATATATTTTTGTAATAGAAGAAAACACATCTCAACATGCAGTATATATATATATATATATATATATATATATATATATATATATATATTGAAATATATTGAATATGGCTAAAATTGTAGCATTTCAAAAATATGTCAATATATTTAGGAAGAATTTTTCAAAAGTATATTTCAAAAATATTTTTCTTCCATATGGGTAAGTACACTGATACAGCTATAATTACCTATGCAGAATGGAAGATACTGTCTATAGTTACATGAAGAAGCAGTTGGCTATTTGGATTATAAGGAAAACACAGGTCAACGGGAACAATTTCTCTTGGACTTTGAAGAAGGGTGTAGCCCCTCAAAAGCTTGACAAATGGACTGTTAATACTAAAATAAACCTGCAGCATCAAACACAGGCAGAGGTGGTAGATGGAGTCCTTTATGATACTGTGCGGCCCTTGTCAAAGAGTACCCTTACACTCTATCTGGTCATAGCACTTGCAATGCTCACCAGAATCCACATTTAACATGTGTATGAAGCATTAGCAGATTTGATATGTGTATGAAGAATTAATTTGGTGCAAAGAGGACTGTTTCTAGCAAAAGAGGAAGAATTTATCCCAGGCAATGTGAGACAATGGTATTATCACTATGCCTCTTGGATCCTGAACTGTATCCTGCTTTTGAAAATAGTGAGAAAACATCAGGAACAGTACCACCACTCTGTTTTTTTCTGTCTCCACACCACTCATTGTCCCCATGTTTGGAGCTGGTATAGTAGGATGAGATATTAAACAAATTGGCCAATGAAAATAATTTCTTGAATATAATGGTAAAGGCACATTTTTTATCAGAAAATTTGTTCATATTTCAGTTAGTGTGTTGACCCTTTAGTAGCCACTCCTGTCTGGACCTAGAGTTTTGAATGCAAGAAAACAAATTTGTTAAACCCATCACCTGACTATATATAAAATTAGCTAGTGGAGGCCCTCTTTATATACACCAGCATACAGTTTCTCGGAAGATACTAGATTAGCATCCCATTTTTGGCAGCCATTTTTTTCTTAATTCAAATGCATTCCTTTTTCCAAAGGTCCTTGGTCTGGTTGTGTGGAATCACAAGTCCACTTCCTCCTTGTGTGACATCATTGATCCTAATTTTCCTAAAGACTAAAAACATGGCACTGTTTCCTGGAACATTCTCCTGTAAACCCTGGTGCAGTGGTGTATTTTGGTTTTGTGCTGCCCTGGGCAACAAAAAAATTGGAGTCCCCCCCACCCCAGGGGAGAGAGAGCCTGGCATCAACCAACACCACCAATCTTACCCTCAACTTCCCCCCCCCCCCACCGTGGAGAGAGCCTGACTTTGACCAACAAACATTACCCCCAACCCCCACCTGAGAGAGCCTTCCACTAACATACAACCACCTCCACCCCCCCTTCCCAGAAAGAGAAAAGACACTCGCCTTCACAGCTCCAGATATCCCTGGAAACAAGAGTCAGACTCTGCATACACCATCAAGCAGCCTGCAGTCTCTTTCAGATCCCACCTGGTCCATGTGCGGCATGTGCCCTTTCTTCCTGTGTGCTGCCCCCCGAAAATTGCCGCCCTAAGCAAATGCCTTGTTTGCCTTGTGGTAAATACGCCCCTGCCCTAGTGGCTTGATGACACAGCCCAGAGAGCATTTTCTTGATGTCCTGGGCTCACAGAAAGTGGGTTGAATGATGCTGAGCATCATTCAACCTGGACTAGGGTCTGTACTGGATAGCAGAGCAGTAAGTCTGATGGGTACATCATCTAGGAGAAAGTGACTATTGCATTTTGAGCTGCAATTCTTTTCACTACTGCAGAGCAGTTGAGTTTTAATTTTTGCATTTTTTAAATTAAAACTGCAGTTTAGCTTTAGCAGTGTGAAAAACTTTGAAAGGTAAACACACTGCTGAAAAATCTATTAGAGACCCATAAGCTGTGTTTTACCTGCATTAATAATTGTATATTGTGATAATTGCATAATCACAATTTTCTGTTCACAAACATAAATTTCACAAAGGTGTGGATCTGTTATTGTTTCACTTGAAATGGATCTTACTTAGTGAGAGGCTCTATTTTATCTTATTTTATTGACATTTTCTGCTCTTCCTACTAGACACCTTATTGAATCTCACAGTTATATCATTCGTTAAAGATATTTATTATATTATTTATATATTATTATTTATTGTAAGAAGTGAAAACCTGTACAACTGCAGTAATCATTTTTTTAATTCCCTAGAGTATTAATGTCTGAAAACTGGTAGTAAAGTGATGTGTTTTACTTTAGCCATTCAATTTGTTGTGAGAAACACATTTTTTTAACAGTTTTCATAGCTCCATTAGTTTAGTAGGGCATTGCTAGTCTGAGGCTGACTAGCTCTGGATGAAATTGCAAGCATGTTACATACATACATACATACAGTAGATAACTCAAATATCTTGCTGTACCACAACAAAAAGAGATCTCAATGTGGCAAGTTTTACTGACAAGGTAAAAAAAAAGGGTACATTTTTGGATTTTAAAACTAGAGAAAAGAGGATTAGAACAAAAGTTGTGATGTTGCCTCTATTTACATATCATATTCTTTGTTTCATTTTTTCCAGAGAATAAAGGATGAAAAGAGATTAGTAACCATGGGCTGATTCTACACTTACACATCTATTTTTCTTTTTCCCAGTTTTAATAGTATTACTACAATTAAAATATTTTTGAGTATTATTGGCATTATAGAATGTAATGAGAATACAGAACAGTCCAAGTTACCCACAAAATAAGCAATAGTCATAAAGCAAACAATAAAAAAGGCATTCCAATTTTGGAAAGGGAAGGCCAATGAGATAACCATCAACCAGAGCATTCTCTGCAAAAAAAAAAAAATTACATGTTCTCTGTGTGTTTGTATTGGTTTGATGTTAAAAACAATACTTGTAAGATAAGTAGCTTCTGTCTAAATTTCCAGTTGAATGCAGTTGTTTGTATCACTGCTGTGTTAGGGATATTACATTGTAGTTTACTCTGAATGTAGAACTATGACCTCCAATTACAAAAAGAAAGTGCTGCTTACTGTCATACCTTTGCAAATTCTCACAAGTACCTTATGATCCTGGCATTAAAGTCGACCTTATGTAGCTTCCTGTGACTGGATGATATTGCTACTGCACTGATCCTGAATACAGATCAGTGTTGTCAACTTCATGTAGGCTGGACTACAGTAGGATGAGAAGATGTTGCAAGGGCATGGTTATCAGCACTGTTGTTGATTCAATCTCTGCTAAACTGGCCGATATTCTATCCATCTATGGCTGGATTAAGGCATGGTCTAATGGTATAAATGGTATTTTAACATTTTAAGCCACTGCAAAATATGATTCTAGGAGCATCTCCATAAATGTTTCTGATTAATCCATTATTCTGATCATCTCCTCTGTATAAAGCACTTATGGTCTTAAATTTTCCACTGTGCCCAATTGATAATGTTCAAATTCCGCTTGCTGTCATGTAGGACATGTGAAGACAATTTTAATGCTGTGTATACTTAACCTCTTCCCATCAGGCCCATGCCGATAAACAGCCGGATGGGAGCACTGCCGATGTGGGGTGACGTTTCTAAACATCCCCTGCATTCATTGCTTGTGCGCACCCCCTGGGAGCGCGCAACACCGTGATCTGTGCCCACTGTGTCCACAGATCAACACAGATCACTGTACGGAACCTCTGTGTGAGGTCCAGATTCAAGTGATCACTGATTGGCCAATCAGTGATCACATGAACAGTAGCAAACAAGATGTCACTTCCTGACATCATTGTTTACTACTTGTGAAATCTGTGAATGATCACAGAGGTCACATGGTACAAGGCTATTCACAACAGCCAATCACAGCTCTAACAGTATTTCTCAATGGCTGCAGGAATGCAGCCAGTGAGAAAGAAAAATTATTGTTTTTACAGCCGTTGTGGGTATAAAAGCAATCAGTGTAAAAAAAAAAAAAAAATTCATCACCCCCTACAAGTAGTACTATGGTGACACTGTACTGCTAGGGTGAGAGTATGTAAAAAAAAACAAAAATAAAATAAAAATGTGAAATAAAATTTGAAAAATTCTAATATTTTTCTTTGTAAACTAATTTGGGTTTTTTTTTTTTTTTAAATAAAAAAAATAGCTGAACACATTTTGGCCAAAATTTATGCAGAAAGATTATTTATTTGCAAAATTTTATAAGAAAAACACTTTTTTTTCAAAATTTTTGGTCTTTTTCATTTATATAGCAAAAAAATAAAAAATCCCAGTAGTTATTATAGAGCCCGAAAAGAAAGTTTTATTTGTCTCAAAAAATGCTAAAAATTTCATATGGGTATAGTGTTGCATGCCCGCCAATTGGCATTCAAAGTGCAATTGCACTGAAAGCTGAAAATTGGCCTGGACTGGAAGGGGGTGAAAGTGTCCGGACTTGAAGTGGTTAAACATTGGTTAGTTAATTATTGACATGCCAATAATCAAATTACATTTTCTGGTAGGGCACAGCAACAATTTTAAATGCCTTTAAATATACTGTATATCAAACAAATACAAAGCTAAACAAAAAATATAAGATTGATTATTTTACTGTTTTATTCAGGACTAGATACTTTATGTAGCAGAGGTAAAGTGACCCTTTTAACCAAGTAGTAAATGATATTCTGAAAATACCTAAAAACCTTTGCACTACTCAAGAATGCACAATAATATAGTAACTTAATTTGCAAATGCTATCATAATCTATATAGAAGTATGAACAATAGATTAAGATTAAGTACATTAACACATTTCTATCATTTCTTTTCCAGGCGCTAAGCTGCTCTTACTCATTACTTGCTGCATAATCTACATATTTAAAGTGGAATGTTGCCCGGAATCCTGCCTATGCTACAATGAACCGAAAATCACCTTCAGTTGTTCACAGCAAAGACTGACTGCCATCCCTTTATACATTCCAACACAGACTCAGCGTATTTTTCTTCACAATAACAAAATAACATTTGTAAGGGCAACTAGCTTCACCTCCTGCCAGAACCTTACTATTCTATGGATCCATTCAAACAATATCAGTCATATAGAGTCTGGAGCACTTTATGGATTAACAAAACTGGAAGAACTAGACATGAGTGACAACTATAACCTCAGATCTGTCGCTCCGCTCACATTTCGAGGTCTTGTTCACTTACATACTTTACACCTCAATCGCTGTGGTCTGCAGGACTTACCTCTTGGAATCTTCCAAGGCCTCCTTTTCTCTTTGCAGTACCTCTATCTTCATGATAACAACCTTTATTTCTTGCATGATGAAACATTTGTGGATCTGGGGAACCTCACTTACTTATTTCTTCATGGTAACAAACTCAGTACCCTATCTGAAAATGTATTTAGTGGCCTCATAAATTTAGACAGATTACTGGTTCATCAAAACAGGCTGGATTATGTCCATCGCAGAACTTTTCATGATCTTAAGAAAGTAACAACTCTCTACTTGTTTAGTAACAACTTAACCATTCTCAAGGGAGAAATACTGTCACCTTTAGTCTCCCTTCAATATCTACGTTTAAATGCAAACCAGTGGATCTGTGACTGCAGAGCTAAATCCCTGTGGAACTGGTTGAAAGCATTCAAAGGCTCATCATCAGAGCTGGAGTGTTATGTTCCACCAAACCTTGCTGGGAAGGACCTTAAAAAACTAGTCATCACAGATCTTGATGGATGTGCCAATACTTCTTTCCATCAAATGAGAACAGGCCTATTTGGAGTCAAGGGCGAAGAGATTGCAGACAGCTGCTGTCAACCTCCAGTCGATAAATCCCTAATTACTGGAACAAATGCTAAGTCTGGCCCATCTTCTCATACGAGCAGAGTCTTGCCAAATATCCCAGTCAAAGACAAAGAAAATATTTCAAAGACAAAAATCATTGGTAATGCTGACCCTAAAAAAAACAAAACATATAAGCCTATTAATTACTCCCCTTTTGGAACATTCACAAGCAAAGTAGATAACTCTTTAACTAAGTTGAATCAAAATAATGTTTTTGATTCAGTTGAACCTTCCACCGTCCCAAACAAAAAGAGGATTCCCTGCTCAAAAAAAGTTAAGTCAAAATCACAGTGTCGAATGTACCAACCGGGAACCAACTCTGGATTACCGAATTTGCACACCATGGATCTTCTATATGTAACTCTGATTTTCATCCACCAGATGCACTTTTAAGCTCTCTATCACACTTTCTCTCTTTCTCTCTCTCTCTATATATATATAAATATTTTTTTGGTTTAAGGCAGTTTCAAAGAAAGACTATGAGTGACCTTAATAAATCGTTGCTACTATATACAAAAATGTGCATAAACAAATAGCTTCACAAAAGGTAATTGGTTATTTTTTTATGGTTGTGTACTTAAGAGTGCAGAAAGTGCAAAAATATTGCTTTATTCCTCATATATTTAAGGATATGTTCCTTTAAAGATTGAAAAGAAATGCTAAACCTGAATGTTTAGCCTTTATTTGTATTTAAAGTTGTACTTAAAAATGATTCAAAATGTACATTGCAAAGAAAATGCTGTTGTCTGCTCTGTTTATGACTTAGAGTTTATTGTAATTATTTCTGTCATTATGTTACTGGGTAGTATTTGTTGAAGAATGCTATCCATTTACTTAAACATTCTCCATGTATACACATATAGATATGCATTTTATTTTAACTGTGCCGAATTAAGTAAAAAATAAATCTGTTCTTTTTTTTTTCTGGCCAAGTTTTATTTCAGTATAAAAAGGACATTGTTTTAATTTGAGGAGTCCTTGACACTTCTAAATATATTAGAATTGCACCTATATTTATTTTCCCTGTGGTGGGGAAGCAGCTAAAAATGTTGGGGTCCTATCGCTGGTTTTCAGTTCTCCTGGTTTTGAATGTAATAATTTAAAGAAAAAAGGAAAAATGAAGAAAGGCCTTTAGCAGTCAGTTACTTTCCTAATTTCATCTAAACTGTTTGACTGGCTAACTTTCAATTTATTTTTCTTCAAGTGTTTTAAATTTGGGGTATGTGACACAAAGTTAGGGTAGTTTCTGAAATAAACAATCAACATGCATTGCAGCTTCCTGTTAAATGTCCAGAAAAGATACATTTTTGCCAGTGCAATATAATTGTATAGCTATCCATTTTTTTCACTGCAATACATGCAGTACATGCAGGGAATCCTGGTCCAATCTGGAAATATGAACCCAAATAAACATCAGAAAACTGCTAAAATTTGGGGGAACTAGTGTTCAATCTCAAACCAAAAACAATCATTACAAAAACAGTATTATAAAAAATTACAAATTCTAACAGGTCTATTTATAAAACATTCATTGCACAAATGTCATAAGCATGCATCAAGGCTGCACAAATGTTCCCCTGTATTTTCTCTGATACTAAAACTTCCTATGATCATCAGCTCCATCTAGTGACCAAATGCAGTCTGTTTTTGGATTGAGGTATTGTAGAAAAATGTACCACATTTTGATCATTAGATGGAGATGAAAATCATAGGTCAGCTGACACTTGTCCAACAAATATTTTATAAACACTCCCCTAAATGTACCTAATGCACATCTTTTGGGCCATTAAATACAAGTATTGCTCCAATTTTGTTAATAATATGTTGCATTCACCTTGCAATCAATTTTGACTAAATTACAAAATAGCTCACACGTCCCCAAAACAGCAGAGGTAAGGCTCTGTTCTTCTCTTCATCGGCCTTGTTGACTCCTCTGTAAATATAGCTATTTCGATTTTGATCATAATGTTGTTTACTTTTACTGTCAGTACTTTAAATGATTTTGTTGCAGATGTTTTGAAGCTTTTCTGTCTACTATTTGGTATTTTTTAAGTGCCCTGTTCTGTGGCATTGGTACAGCAAAAGTGGCTAACAGTTTTACACACCAAGGGTATACAAATATATAAGCACATCTGTAAGTCTGTGGTGATACTGAAGATAGCAAAGGCATCCAGGAATGAGATTTGTAGGAATACCTAGAAAAATGCCGAAGTGAGCCAGTAAAGTAAAAAGCAGGTTACCGTGAGAAGGTAGAACCCAGCAGAGTCAGCAGAAATGGAAACGAGACAAAGACAGGGCTAACAATGGTCAGGAACTCTGATTAGATTAGAGTGAGAAAGTAACTATTTTCAGTTGTAATACGCAACCTAATACACACAGTGCTTCGTAAATAAGATTATTATTTCAAGTTGCCCACTCAGAAAGTTCAGAAAAGTTATGTGTAATAAAATGGAATGACACAGGGAAAAAGTATTGAACACACTAACTGAAATGTATTTAATACTTGGCACAAAAATCTTTTGTTAGTAATGACAGCTTCAAGACGCCTCCTATATGGAGAAACTAGTGGCATGCATTGCTCAGGTGTGATTTTGGCCCATTCTTCCACACAGTCTTCAAATCTTGAAGGTTCCATGGGCCTCTTCTATGAACTCTTATCTTTAGTTCTTTCCATAGATTTTCTATTGGATTCAAGTCGGGTGATTGGATGGGCCATTCTAGCAGCTTTATTTTCTTTCTTTGAAACCAGTTGAGCGTTTCCTTGGCTTTGTGTTTGGGATCATTGTCTTGCTGAAACGTCCTCCCTCATTTCATCTTCATCATCCTGGTAGATGGCAACAAATTTTTATCAAGAAAGCCTTGGTACATTTTTTCATTTTTTCATTTCTCCTTCCTTCAATAACATTTTGCCAGTACCGTATGCTGAAAACAGCCAGCCCCACGCCATGATGTCCCCACCTCCAAACTTTACTGTTGGTATGGTGCTTTTGGAGTCATGTGCAGTGCCATCTGAACTCCAAACATTGTGTGTATTATGGCATCCAAAGAGTTCAATTTTGGTCTCATCTGACCAGGGGTGGACTGACAACTCATGGGGCCCTCGGGCAGTAGGGGATCATGGGGCCCTGTGTCCTTACCCAAACTCAAAAAAGCCTATCAAAAAGGTACCAGGGGCATCTCATGGTGCCCCTACTGACCCCGGGCCCTCGGGCAGTGCCCGAGTTTCCAAATGGTCAGTCGGCCCCTGCATCTGACCAGACTTTATTCTCCTAGTATTTCACAGGCTTGTCTAAATGTTGTGCTGCAATTTTAAACGCGCTTCAACATACTTTTTCTTCAGCAATGGAATCTTGCGTGGTGAGCGTGCATACGGGCCATGGTATTTGAGTGCATTACTTATTGTTTTCTTTGAAACAATTGTACCTGCTAATTCCAGGTCTTCTGAAGCTCTCCACAGGTGGTCCTTGGCTCTTGGACAACACTTTTGATAGTTTTTTTCACTCCTCTGTCATAAATCTTTTAAGGAGCACCTCGTTATGGCCGGTTTATGGTGAATGATGTTCACTTTCCACTTCTGGATTATGACTGCAACAGTGCTCACTGGAATATTCAGAAGTTTGGAAATCCTTCTGTAACCAATGCCATCAACAATAAGATTGTGAAGGTCTTGAGAGAGCTCTTTGCTTTTACCCATCATGAGATGCTTCTTGTAATGAGACACCTTATAGGCCATCAGTTGAGACCGAACCAGCTGATATTATTTTGCAGTGAGAAGGGGCAGGGTTGCTTTCTAATTACTGAGATATTTCAGCTGGTGTCTTGGCTTTCCATGCCTTTATACACCTCCCTTTCTTCATGTGTTCAATACTTTTTCCCTGTGTTATTCCATTTTATTACACATAAGTTAGTTTCTAAACTTAATCGTTTTGATTTCTTTGTATGGATTGCATGGGTTGTTACCGACATGTGGAGAAAATTTAATGTCAATAGCACCTTTAGAAATATATTTACCTAGAAAAATGTTGACGTGTTCAATACTTATGTTACCCGCTGTATAATCTAATTATGACACAGCTTGTCTCAAGACTAGTTATGAAACTAGTGCCTATTAAAGTGCATTAATGAATGAATCAGCATCATAGAGTATTCTGTAGTCATGGGATTAGAGTGATAGTGAACATAGCTTTATTATATCTATATATATATATATCCTGTATATAATGATCATGCACTGTACATTTCAACTGTCCTTACATCTTTATGTCTATGTCTTTTTAAAGGACACCTAGAGATTTTTTGTGCTATTATGCAGATTATTCCATTTTCTGGTCTCGAATTTTATATCCCTCAAGTTAAATGTTCCTAAATCACTACACTTTTTCCCCAGGAATTTATAAACCTTGCAAGCCTTGTTCTTTTCTGCAGTGAAATATGCGACAGCTCAGTATGGGCAAAGCTATAGAAAAATAGTTTTCTCTAGAAATATGTCTGCCTTACTCAAATGTATTCAAGGCCACTGCAAGTAACTTTAAAAGAAACTTTTCAGCCCTGGAATATAATAGCAGGTAGTAAAATAGATGTTATAGCAATAGTAAAAACTACCTTGATTTAGAAAATATTCCTTAGAAGTAAAAATCCTGTAAATATATTTAATATTTCTAGATATTACACATTTTGCTGGAATGTAAAGAAAAATGAGTGGATATTATGTTCAAAAATCAGTAAATGTTGCTTAAAATGACCCTATTGTTAACAGAAACATTTCCAAATACCTTTGCTGACATCCACTGATAAACAGGCATTTTTTAAGGTAGATTTTTTGCATTGCTCAATGGTTTCTCCCTCTGACATTCATGTCAATACTATATCCAATAGTGACCTGGTGATTGATTGGAGTATGTACTGAGTGCTATGGTGGATCAAGAAGGTGTTGGTTTCCCAGCTGACTTTAGTGAACAGGGTGAACTTGTGAACAGGGTGATTATTTGGCAGTGCAGGCAGTGGAAAAGGTTAAGTATTTATATTGTTCACAGTCATACCTATTCTGAATTTAAGGAAAAAAATACATATTTTTTTCATACCCAAAGCATGTGACATATCCTTCTAATAATTTAGAATGTTGTATTTTTTTAATAAAAGAACCATCATTTTGACCAAGTTGAGCAAAACAGATTAATGTGCTTGGTTATTTTAAGCCAGCTTGTTATGGGTTACTTTCTTGAATTTTTAAGCTATCGCACTTAAAGCAGCAGTAAACCCAATCATTCAAACAAATAATTAAAAAAACTTTCCCCTGGAAGACAATATCACACTGTGCTAGTATGCATCGCATATTAGCACATTACTTGAAACTTACCTTAAAATGAAGCCCTCCAGCGGCGTGCTGTCACCAC